GGGGGACGGGGGAGGGGGGGGGGGGAAGGACGAAGGAGGAACATCGACGCAAAGGGGGAGAGGGGCCTCGACAAGCGCGCGCGCGCACACACACACAGACGTGGCTCCCCGCCGCACCCTCACTGCACCCCGAAGTAGTGGATGTAGTGATTGTCCAGGCGACTCTGTGCCACACAGGCCTCGATGATGGCCCGGCGGTGCTGCAACGGCCCGGCCGTGGCGATGGCCGTGGCCGGGCCGGCCGCCACAGCCTGCTGCACCGACCGCGGCCCCCCGGCCGGGGACACCGGGCGCGGCCCGGCAGCGGCAGCCCCGGCCGGCGACCCGGGCCGGCCGCCACCAGGCTGCGCCAGCGCCGCCAACGCCCCGCTCAAACCCTCGGCCGCTTGCTGCGACGGGGTGGCCGGGCCCCGGGGGCCGCCCTCGGCCGGCTGTGCAGACCGCCCAGCCGGCCCGGCGGCCACTTGCAGCGATGCATGGATGGCCGCCGCACGCAGGGCCACCCCGACGCCCCGGCGCGAGAGCACCGCCCCATCGGCCAGGTGCGGCGTGGCCACCGGCGCACTGTGCAACTCCGCCACCAGCGGCCACAGGTCGTGCGTGTCGGCCGTCGGCTGCAGCCCCCCGCCAAGGGGCCCGGCCAGCAGCCCAGGCGTCTCGGCCATGGCGGCTGCTCCCGGCCACTGGCGGATGTCCAACAGCGACACCATGCCACCCGGCAGGGGCCCGCCGATGCCGATGCCGCCGCCGCCGCCGCCGCCGCCGCCGCCGCCCGCCGGGCCCGACGCCAGGCGGTCCAGCGTCGCCGGCACCGACACCGACGCATTCAGAGCCCCGCCACTCGCGGGCAGGCCCAGGAGCCCGGCCGGGTCGGCGGCCGGAATGCCCACCGGCGACCCCGGCCCCAGGCCCAGCCCCCCGGGGGACAGATTGTGCATCGACTGGGCCGGGGTCTGGTCGGCCAGGCGCCCGGCCCGCGACACCAGCCCCGGCCCGGCCCCGGACGCGCTCCGGCCCCGGCCCCGAATGGCCACCGGGTCGATGGGCACCGGCGAGAAGGAGCTCGGCTCGATGAGGCCATCGACCGATGCCCCGGGGGTGGTGGCCGGGCCGGCGCCCCCGGTGGCCGTGGCCACCGCCGAGGCCGGCCCATCGAAGGACCGCCGGCCGCCCGGCGACCCGACCGCCACCACGGCCCCGGCCAGGTTGTCCATGGTCGCGCGGCGGGTCAGCCCGCCGGGCTCCGGCCCGGCCAGCGACGAAGCCACCGCCAGGGTGGCCCCGATGGTGGACAGGGCCGACGCCGCCAGCGCCGCATCCATGTCCAGCGTGGCCGCCAGGCCCCGGCGCACGGCAAACGGATCCGTGTGGACATTCCACACCCGGACCCGGTAGAGGCCGGCATCGTGGCTGGCCGACCCGGCCCCGGCCCCGGCCGGCCCGCCGGCCCCCGGCGCCAGCGGCGACACAAACAGCACCACCTGGTACCCGAACACCGGCAGCAGGACCTCCCGGCCGAAGCGCGCAAACTCCGCCGGGTCGTCCAGCCACACGATGGCCACCGCCCCGAGGCAGGCCCGCACGCTGGCCAGCTCCAGCAGGTCGCCCTTCTCCGGGCCCAGGGCCGCGGTCAGCCGGGCCCGCGCCCCGGCCAGTAGGGCCGGCACCACGAACACCGCCTCCACCGAGGCATCGGCATAGTAGGGGACCCCGGCGACCGGGGCCCCGCCGGCCCCGGCCCCCGGGGTGCTGGCCGCCGAGCCCACCGGCGACCCGCCCGACCCGGCCAGATCCCCGGCCAGGTCCGCGCAAAACTCGAACAGCTCGGCCGGGCCCCGGTGGCCCACATGCGTGCGCAAGTCCACCAGCCACCCGAGGGAGGCCACAAACTGGGAGAACTCCGCCCGCCCGCGGGCGGTGGCCGGCCCGCGCAGGAGCCGGCTCACCGGGACCGGGGCCGCCGCCGGCCGTGGACCGCCGCCGCCGCCGCCGGCACCCCCGGAGGCCCCCTCCTCCGGGGTCAAGTACACCGAGGCCGACTCCGCATACAGAACCGGCAGGTTGAGGGCCGCCCGGACCGGGGTCGAGTCCAGCATGTCCAGCGCCCGCAGCAGGCGCCCATCCAGCCGCAGGGGGGTCACCTTGGATCGCTCCAACGAGGGCGGAAGCAGGCCCAGGTGCGCCAGCAGCCGGCGCCCGGTCAGGAACCCGGCGTGGGTCGACCGATCCGGCGGCGCCGGGCACAGGGGCCGCGGCCGGGTGCTGTGTCATAGAGGATCATCATCAGCAGGAGCAGCGGCGTCGTTGTTGTTGTGTCGTCGTTGTCGTCGTTGTCGTCATCATGATTAGCATCGTCAGCATCGTCAGCATCATCAGCATCATCAGCATCATCCGCATCATCCGCATCGTCAGCATCGTCATATGGTCAGGGGAAGATGGAGCAATCGCAGAAAGAAAGGGGGCGACGAAAGAAGAACACAGGTCGCTCGGCCTCGCCGAGAAGCCAACAACCCCCCCTTGGCGGGGGGAAAGGAAAATAAACAAAAAAAAAGGACCCCCAGGGGTCACGCGCACCTGGCATGCGCGCGCGATGCCACCACCTCCTCCGGGGTGATGTACAGCCGGGGCCCAGCCACGCCGGAGCCCGGGGCCCCGGTCAGATGCTGCGACCGGGCATACTGCCGGGAGATGGCCGCCCGGATTTCCAAGTACTGCCCATCGGTCAGGATGGAGGCCGTCGGGACCACCAGGCCCGGGGGGGCGACCGCCGGGGCCGCGGCTCCCCCCGCCCCGGCGGTCGCCCCCGCCGGGATGGGAACCACCAGCTCGCGCCCGGCATCGGCAGCCGGCCCGGCCGGCAGGACCGGCGAATTCTGCGACTCGGCCACCAACCGCGGCGTGGAGGAGGCAATGTTGAAGTGATCGGCCGTGGTGGTCGACCCGACCAGCACCCGGTTGATCAGCGTCGGCGAGGTGTCAATGCGCAGGGCCTGGTGCAGGAGCGACGACCGCCGTGCCGCCACCACCGGCCGGTCCGGGTGCAAGTGCGCCGGCAGGGCACTGGCCGGCACACCGGCCAAGGGGGGCGACCCGCCCCGGCGGTCCGAGGCCAAGCTCGGGCCCCCAGCCGGCGGGCTGTCCAGCCCGGTCAGCGCCACCGACGGCAGCCCCGGCGACAGTGACCCCCCGGGCGTGAGGGGGCCCTGCTGCTCGGCCGCCTCGCGGCAGCTGCAGCACAGCAGGGCCCCGGTGCGGGTGGCGGGGTCGTCGGCTGCCGCGTCGGGCCCGAGCCCCGACGGGGTCAGCGCCGCCCCCAGCACCTCGACCGGGATCCCCAGCAGATCCGCCACCTCCAGATAGCGCACCGGCATGTCGAGACGCACGCGCGGGGCGGCCGGGGCGCCGGTCCCCGGGCCCGCGCGGCCCTGAGCCCGCGGCGACCCGGCCGCCGAGGAGGCCCGGCTGCCATCGCCACCGCTCGGCGACAGGACCCCCTGGCTGGCGAGGGCCGCCCGCGCGGCGCTCACAATCATCGAGGCAGACGGGCTGCCCAGGGGCGGCTGCCAGCCGTCCGCCGAATCGGCCCCGGCCTGCGCGTCGCGCTGGTATCCCAGGCCCAGCGGATGCGCACGCAGGACCCCCGACCAGGCGTAGGACCCATTCACATCGCGAATGATCACCAGCACCGAGGGCCCCTCGCTGGGGCGCCCGGGCGGCGCCGGCGCCGCCCGCGCACCGACCGGTGTCGAGGGACCCCCGGCGCCCGGCGCCTCGGCCCCACCGGTCGGCACATTCACCAGGGTATTCGGATACAGGCTATCGGCCAGGCCGGCCCGGTGGGCCAGCGAGTGCGACGCCGGCAGCTCCACCAGGCCGACAATCATTTGGTCTGTGCACGGGGGGGGGGTCCACGCGGGAGAAACCGAAGGAGCCGGCAGCAGGAGGAGAGGGAGGTCTGTCAGTCCGAGTGACGCCTGTCGGTGCAGGGAAGTAGAGGGAGAGGGGGAGGGAAAGAGAGGGAGAGAGGGAGAGAGGGAGAGAGAGAAAAAGACAACTCCCCTGTCCTCGAGAGGCGAGCAGGGGCGGAGGAGCAGCAAGGGAACCCATGGGCACCCGCCAGCCGAGCGAGGCGCCCAGCACGACGTACCGTTGATGGCGAAGTACCGGACGAAGTCCTGCGGCTCGACCAGCGGCCGCTCAGCCAGCGGCGAGGCCGGCCCCCCGCGGGGGGTGGTCACCGCCCCGACAGACATGTGGCAGTTGCTGCACGCCAGTGCCGGGACGCCAGGGCGCGAGTGGGCCACCACACCGGCCGCGCTCGCCGGGGGGCGCTGGGCGTTGGCCGCGGCCGCCACGCGTGCGGCCACCTCGCGCTCGCGGACCTGCGTCGACACGGCCGCCACGCCGGCCGCCGCCGGGAAGTTCCCCAGGTGGAAGACAACGCGATTCCACACTGAACACGAGGCGTGAGTAGTGGAAAGGACGGCAGGAGGCGGGCACCTTTTCTCCTGTCCCACCCCCCGGCAAAAAGAACCCCCCCCCCCCCCCCCGCCATCCCCAACACACACGGACAGGCAACGCAACGGCGGCAAGAAAGCAGCCCCAGCGAAAAGGGCCCCGCCCGGTGCGAACGCACCGCTTGCCACGGCCTCCGACAGGGCCAGCGCCCGATCTGGCGTGGAGTACGCCCCGGAGGGGCTCCAGGAGGACCGGCTTACCGCGCCGGCCCACTGCTCCTCGGGCAGGGTGCCCGGCACCAAGTCCGAGCTCGATGCCAAGAAGCCCAGCTCCGCCGGCAGGGCCGCATGACTGACAAGCACACCGTCGGATGGGCTGCGCGGGACGGCCGCCAGAGAGGAAGGCCCGCGTCCGGGGAAGGAGGGTGGGAGGCGCAAATGCAGGAAACATCAGTAAGGGCGGCGGCCGGCCCACACCCACACCCACACCCACACCCACACCCACACCCACACCCACACACCCAACGCGAGGGGATCCACGCGAGCACGTACATGGTGGCGGTGGCAGACGGCCCCGACGCCGGGCCACGGCCCGCCGGCCCGGCCGCTCGCGTCACCTTCGACAGCATGCTCACCACCATCAGGGTGAGATCCGGCGACCAGGCGGCCGTGGCTGTGGCCATGGATGCGGCCGCGGCCGCGGCCGCCGGCGACCCAGTGCGCCCGGGCTCCGTCCCGGTGGGGGAATCCTCCGCCGGCGGAGACGAAGTAGCCGCCGTGCCCCACCAGGTGGCCAGGCAGGCCAGGGCGCTGAGGACACGCGTCGTGCGGGCCTGCGCCATTCCACAGGAACAGGGCCGCGTGCGAAGACACCGCAGTCAGCAGCCGAGGCAGACGACGCCACTGCGAAGGGACCGCACCAACACGAAAGAAGGAAGAGCCAAGCCCCCCCCCCCCCCCCCCCACGTCCCCCGCCGGGCGGGACAGTCGGCCCAACACACACGCACACTGAGGCACGCCTCGTGCAGGCCATTGTCGATGTACCGACAGAGGGCCTTGACAATCTCGTGGGCGGTGCCCCCGAGCCCACCGAGCCCGGCCCCCGGACCGGCGCCCATGCGCGCCAGCGACTCGAGCACCGCCAACAGCGACAGCTCCACCTCGTCCAGCTCATACGTCTGGAGCAGCGGCCCGGGCAGCTGGCTGAGCGTGTGGCTGATGGTCCCGGGCCCGAGGCCGGGCCCCACCGCCGGGCTCAGCGCCGAGGCCAGCTGCATGAACGAGTGCACCGAGTAGGAGGCCGACAATTGCGACGGCGACTTCAGATGCCGGAAGGATGCGCCCACGCCGGATCCCGGATATGGCGACCCGCCCAGGGAGTGATAGTGCTGCGAGTGGCTTTGCTGGTGCATCAGCAGCGGGGCCGGGCTCTGCCCGGCCAGCGACCCGCCACTGGTCACCCGCGAATGGCCATCGGCCAGCAGCCCGGACCCGGAAGCAGGCCCGGCCAGCGACCCGGTCGGCGTGGCCAGGCCGCCAGCCGCGAATGTGGACGACACCGGGGTCGGTGGCGCCGATGACGCCTGCCCCGGGCCCCCGGTCAGCGAGGGCGTGCGGCCGGGGGCGCCCGCCCCGGCGCCCACCCCGCCGGGCCCGGCAGCCACCGACACCGGCGGGTGCGCCGACAGCCAGAGCAGCTTCTTGGCCACGGCCAGCGAGACGATGCTCAACAGCCCGGGCGTGGCCCCGGCGTCATCGGCCACAAAGACAAAGAGCCCCGACGCGATGGACCGGAAGTTGGCCGGCTCCACGGCCGACGACCATGGCTGCCACCGGACCAGCAGGCTGGACAGCAGCAGGAAGAAGGCATGCACCCGCAGGTGGCTGTAGCAAAGCACGGCCGACATGTCGCCGGGGTGCAGGATGGTCGACCGGAAGATGGCCGCCAGCTGCGACGCGAAAAGGCACCCCCCCTCCCCGGCGGCGGGGAGCAGGAGCGAGCCAGTGTGGGGCCGTGATGAGTGATGCTGATGTGGGCGGCGCGCCAGTGCGATGGAGGGGGCGGGGGGGGGGGGGGGGGGGGGGAGGGAGACGCACCAGGATCTGGAAGTTGGTTCCCGAGGCCAGGAACTCGGTGTCCGTGGTGGCCTGGGCCATGTACCCGAGGTCCAGCTTGGCCCGGTCGACGAGACCGGCCGGGATGGGCGACATGCCGAGGTACCCGGGGACCGTGGTCACGGTGGATAGGATCCGCAAGGCCGCCCGCTGTAGACGCGGCGCCGACACGAAGGGCACCTCCACAGTACACAGCTGAGGCGCGCGGTGTTGTTCGGGGAAGGGGCGGCCCCGCAGCAGTTGCGGCAGGGGGCGGCCGTTGTGGCAGGGGGCGGCCGTTGTGGCAGGGGGCGGCAGGGGGCGGCAGGGAGAGGCGGGTTGACACATGGGCGGTGAGAGACCGGGAGGGAGGAGGTGGTGCGCAGCGCACGCCACGTCTTCCGACAAGCAGGATGCCCATGTGTGTCGGGCTCCCCATGGATACAAGGACACACAAGAGCGGGGAGAGGGGGCCAGAGAGGGAACGAGCGAGAGAGAGAGAGAGGGGGGGGGGGGGAAGAACCGCGCCCTGGCAAAGGAGCAAGCAAGACACGCACCGGCAGCACATGACGCATGGCAAACAGGAAGTCCGGCACCAGCACCCGGACACCAGGGAGGTCACTGACAAAGAGATACACCCCGGACAGGAGGATGGCTGCGAGGGTCTGCGGCCCGGCGGCACCGGCCGGCGGGGTCAGGCCGCTGGCATCGCCATCGGCCGAGGCGTCGGTCGGCTGGGGAACATACCTCCCCCCGAGGGCCTCGCGCAGGGTGCCATAGAACCGAGCCAGGAACAGGATGTCCCGGCTGGGCCCGGCCTCCCCGAGCGGGAGCCCGGGCGGCATGCCAACCCCACGCCGCCGGCCGACCAACGGCTGCGAGAACACCCGGCAGAGTGTGGCACAGGCCACGGCGCGCGCCGCATCATCATCATCCTGCCGCACCCCGGGGGCGGCAACCCCGGAGGAGTGCTGCGCGTGGGCGGCGGCGGCGGCGGCGGCAGCGGCGGCCGCCGCCGCCGCCGCCTTGCTGGTTCCCGGCGGGGAGGCCACATTGCCGAGACGCGACAGCAGCGACGAGGGAAGCAGCCCGGCCCCGGTGCTGACCAGGGCCGAGGGCGGAGGGCTGGCCGCATTGCCCATCGTGACCCCGGGCGCCACGGCCGACACCACGGCCGACACGTCGGACGACACAAAGCGCCCAAGGGCCGAGGTGACCCGCGAGGTGCCGGACGTGGAGGCCATCGTGGACGAGCCGCCCGACGCGGCCGGGGCACTTTGCGTGCGCGTGGCCGGCGTCACCAACGGCGCCGAGCCCGGAGCACCCGCAATTGCCAGCGGGGCCCGGCCGCGCGCCACGCTGAATAGCCACGGGCCGAAGATCGACAAGATGGTCGCACGATCGGGGCTGGTCGGGGCGGGGCGCTGCATGGGGAAAAAGAGGGCCGGCACAGGGTCAGAGCAGTGGCACAAGGGAGCACAATCGCCGCAAGGGTGACCACCCACACCCGGGCCACCGGCGGGCCCCCATGTGCGTGAGACAGACAGGCCACCGTACCTGCAGTGCAGGGTCCAGGGGCTCCGAGACAAAGGACAGCAAGTGCGACGCCTGGCCGATCTCCGACCGCTGGTACACGGACGGGTAAAGGAAGAGATTGACACAGCGCGCAATCCCGCAGATGGCCTCGAGCAGGATGGCTGACCGGAGCCCAGATAGGTCATCCACCAGGTCTGTTCCGGCCGGGGGGGGGGGGGGGGGGGGGGGGGGGGGGGGGGGGGGGGGGGGGGGGGGGGGGGAGAGCGCGTGTGCGTGTGCGTGTGCGTGTGTGTGTGGACAAGACAGTCAGAAGAGCGCGGTGCGGAGCCCGAGCCGACGCATGATGGCAGAAATGAACAGGGGGGCCAAGCAACGCCGGGGGGGGGGGGGGGGCCGGCACGCACGGAGGATGCGATTCCAGCAGAAGTACAGCTGGTCGAGCGGCAGCTCAATGATGACCATGCTGGTGCCCGACTGGATGACCACCACTTCGCTCCGGGGGTTGGACACCGGCTCGGCCGGCCCGGCAGGAGCGTCCCCGCTGTCGCTCATCGACTGCGCCGAGAGGGAGGCCCGCAGGCCGCCCTCGCGCACGGGGAGCCCATACAGCCGCGCGCACACCGACCGGCACAGGGACATGGTGACCAGATTCCACTGGACGATGGCCACCATGTGGTGCGTCCAACGAGGGAACATGGTCTGAGGGGGGAGGAAGGCGAGGAGCCGTGCCCAAACACCCAAGGGGTCAGCCAGGGGGCGACACATGCACCGCGGAGGGGTGGGCGGCGGGAGCGAGGAAGGCCGCGTACTTTCAGGGTCTGCCAAAGGTCCGAGTCGCGAAGGCCAGAGCGGATCATGATTTCGAACAGGTTCTACGAGGGGGAAAGAACGCGCGGAGGGCACGACGCACGGAAAAGGGGCGTTTGGAAAGGCATTAGTGGGCCGGCATTGCGGGAGGAGAGCAGGCCAGGAGGGCAGGGCAGAGCGCACCCGGAAGAGCGGCGCCGAGAGCTCCTCCGCCACCACCGCCGGCAGGGGCGAATCCTCCCGGACAACGTAATCCGTGACGCCGAGGGAGATCTGCACCAGCACGCGCCACGTCTGGGGAGCCACCTCCCGGCCGAGGGTGCGAGCGAAAATGTTGTAGATGTCGATCACCTGCACATGGCGAGGGGCCATCCCCGGCCGAGTGGGGAACCGAGACAGCCAGCCAAACGCAGGAGGTCAGTGTGAGCCGAGAAGAAAGCACCAAACACCGGGAAGAGAGGCAGCAAAAGCAACAGGACCCCCGGAGGAGGAGGGGGGGGGGGAGAGAGACACATGCACATGCGCATGCCATGCAAAAGCAAAGGGACCGGCCCGGGAGCGCACCTTCTTGCACACCTCGATGTGCGCGCTGACAGAGGTGCCCTGCACCGGCGGCAAAGCCGACAAGGCCTGGTAGAAGCGCGTGGCCAGCAGAGCACGGTCGTGGGCATCGTTGGCGGCTTGGCGCTTACGCGCAACTGCTTGGCGCAGGGCCGCCATGCTGGCCGGGCTGATGCCCGGCCTAGGCCGCTGGCCCTCCAGCCCCGGGGATCGATCGTCAGACCCAGGCCCGCCCGTGGGACCGGGCTGGGTGCGCGCCAGCGGCGGCATCGACGAGTAGGACCCCCCGGAGGAAGCCCCGGACCCGAGGGAAGAGGCGCTTGCCTGGGGGAAGGGAGCGGACCCGGCCACGGCCGCGCGTGGCCGGGCCACCAGGTTGATGGCGGCATCGGCGGCCGCCGCGGCCGCCGCCGCCGCCGCCGCCTCGCTCCCGGTGCCGGACTCCTGCTCGGCCAGACGGAGAGTCTGCTCCGAGAGGATGGCCTCCTCTTGGGTGGCTGTGGCCAGGCTCTGCGCGGCGATGGCGGCCAGCTGCGCTGCTCGCGTGGACCGATCGTCCCGGTGGCGCTGCTGGAAGACCAGCGACAGGTGCTTGAAAATCATGCAGAAGAACCCCTGCAAGTCGCGATCCATGGCCGGCGGGCGGAAGGCCGGCTCCAGCAGCCACCGTCCGTAGACATTGGCCGAGGCGCTGTTGGGGGCGCGCACCGCCGGCCAGGCGGGGACGGGGACGGGGACGGGGGGGAAGGAGGGAGACCGGCAGGCGGACACCCGAACAGCGAGGGCGACCGATGAGTTGAAATCCCGGCAGCGAGGGGGAGGTGGCGTGTGTGGGTGTGTGGCCGCTTGAAGCCGGGCGAGAGACAGGGGCAGAAGAGCAGCCACCGAAGAGGAAGACCACGCACCTGATCAGGTCGACATCGGCAACCGGCAGGGCGCAGCCCTGGCCAATGATCTCGGCCACCCAGCGGGCGTGAGCTGGCCGCGAGAGGAAGGCCATGTCCGGGCACCAGGACAGGAACCCGGTGGTCGATTGGACAATGGCCCGGCGTGCCTGCAGCGGGAAGCCGCCGAGGGCGTCGGAGTCTATGTGCGCATGTTGCCAAGGGGCGAGTCCGGGCCAGGGGGAAGGGGCAAAAAAGAAGGCGGCATCAGTGTGGGCAGAGGCTCAGGGGAGAAGAGGAGGCGACGGGCGCGCATCGCCAACAGGCAGGGCGCCGAGGGGGGGGGAGATGGCCAGATGGAGGGAGGGCGAGACAGGGGCGAACGCACCCAGGTCAATGGGCAGAAGCCCCATGGTTTCGAGGTCAGGCAGCAACATGGCCACTCGATCACGGAGACCGCGCCAGAGGGCGGCGAACTACTAGACAAAGAGAGGGGAGCCGGAAGAAAGGATAGGGAGGGGGCGCGAGGCCGAGGTCGAGCCCAGGCGCGCGCGCGCCGGGGGCGGAGTGGACCGGCTGGCGTTAGGCCCGAGCCGGAGTGCGGGTGGTTGGCAGCGGCGGCAGCGGCAACGGCAGCGACTCGCCTGTCAGAACGCGCGGCAGAGGGGAGGGGGGGGGGAGGGAATAGGATCAGCGGAGTGCGCGTGTGTGTGCGTGTGTAGATGGCAGGGCGGCAGGAGGGAGGACGGAGAGGGGTACCTCACGCCGGGGGGTGGCCGTAGCCGCCAAGGAGCCGGGCCAAATGTCCGGCCCGGCGGGGCAGATCGCGCGCCGGAGGCAGGGCGGCGCGGGCGAGGGGGGGCCGGCTGCCCGCCGGCGTATCTCCCATCTATGCGCCCCGGCACTCGTGAGCCCTGGCACAGAGAGGGGGAGCATGGGCCCCTTGTCAAGAAGGACGGGGCGGAAGTCGTGTCCGGGGGGAGGGGGGAGGGGGGGGGAGCGTCTAGACCGCGGGAGCGTGAAAAGAAAAAGGAAAAAGCCCCGATCTCCTGTGGGCGCCCAGCCCCACCGCGTATCAGCTGGTCCGAGGGCGGGGCACGGCCGGCTGGCGGCCGGGCGGCTGGGCGCCGGGCGGGTCGCGCCTACAAACACATTCCTTTTACCGGGGCCCGGGGAAGCAGGGAGTGGGCAAATGGGGGCGGGCACGGGGGGGCGGGGGCGGGCGGGAGAGGCGCGGGGCCCGAGGCACGCCACACCCTGCAGCGGCCGAGCCAGCAGCTGGCGGGTGCCAGCCGGTCGACGCGTGATCATGACCCTGGGTGGTGACTTCCGAAGAATCACCCGACGCGGGTGCTCCCCGGCCGCCCCGGGACCGGAGCCGTCCCCGGTTGCCAGCCCGGCAGCCGCGCACCCACCGGCTGGCCCCCCTTCGTCCCTTCGCCGCCGGGCGGGTCCTGACCACCACCCCCTCACCCGGCCGGCGCGGATGCCTCCGGGGAAGAGGGGGCGCAAGCCGCCGGCTTTGGGGAGAGGGGCGCCCACGACCAGGCCCCGATCTCCCGGCGCATGCCGCCACGGCAACACACACACACACACACGCGCGCGCGCACGCGCATGCTCGCCTAAGATTGTGCGGCCCGCGCCCAGACGCGCACACCAAGATGGGCCGATCTTGTCGCCCGCCCCCGCACTCCGCCCCCCCCCCCCCCCCCGGGGGGCCAGGTGCGGGCCCCCAAGCCCTGGACCCAACCCCATCGAGGTCCGGAGGGGCTCGGGCTGTGAGAAAATTCCCGCCGGAATGAACCTGGCATTATCTTCAGAGAAACGGCCAGCCGCCCCAGCCGCGCTCCCCCCCGCCCCCCGGGCCGGGGGCGTATTGTTGATGTTCAGGCCGGCTTTTGCAGCCATACAACCGGGCGGCAACTGGCCCGGGGGATAAACCGCCCGCCGGGACCCGGGGCCTCGCCCAAATGCTGGCCCGATCTCCCCCCAGCCGCAGCTGCCGGCCCGGCCGGCCGGCCGACCACCACAGCCATAGCTCCCCCCCGGGAGCCGGGAAATGTCACCGGGATGTGCCGCCGACCTCGCCCGGGGGCGGCGAAAAACAAAAACAACAACAACAACAACAACGCCCCCTCCTCACGCGCCCTCTGCGCGGCCAGCCGCGTCGGGGGGAGGAGAGACACGACCCAAGTCATCTGGGCACACCTGCGCCGCGCCCCCTGCGCTGTTGCGCCCGTCCTACATCGCCCCCTTCCTCCCCCCCAGGGATCTCACGGATCGCCCCTCTGGGGAGCCCGGCAGGATGCAGGACACACTGAAGCCCACGCGTCCTCCCGCCATGCCCACGGGCTGGAGAAGCCCTCCCTCCACACACACACACACACACACACACACAGACACACACGCATACGCCCCTCGCCTCCCCGCCTCCCCGCCTCCCCGCCTCCCCGCCTCCCCGCCCCCTACCCCCAGCCACGCACGCGCAGGCAGGATACACCCCCTTCGTGCCACACCATGTCCGCGGCCTCCGACACTGCCCCCGATGACCAGTCGGTCACCTTCGACACGGCTGGGCTGAGCTTTGCCTCCGGGGAAGCCCGGCCCTTCGGCGACCCGACCCCCGCCGGCAGCCCCGGCCTGCTGGCGTCCGACGCGGGCCCCGGCCTGCGGCCCTCGCAAACCGAGTACTCCAGCCTCCTGGATGGCGATGTGTCCGGCTCCGGCGACGCCTCCCAAGCTGGGCAGAAGTTCAGCGACGTGTACGACTTCGAGTCGGACCTGCAGGAGCGCCTCGACGCCACGAGCACCATCTTCAACGACGAAAACATCGTCCCCAGCGACTCGACCCTGCGCGTGGCCGAGGGCGTGGCGCGCATGCGCTTCTCCGTCTTCAACCTGGTCAACACCATTGTCGGCGGCGGCCTCCTGTCTCTGCTCTTCGCCATGCGCGTGCGTGTCACCCACACCAGCCCCCGGGCCTGCGGCGCGCCTCGCCCCCTCCTCGCCTCTCTCTCTCTCTCTCTATCTATCTCTTCCCCCCACGCGCCCTGACCCTTTGCCCACTCCGCTCGACCGACAGCTCCTCGGCATTGTCCTCGGCCCGATGGCCCTGGCGGTTGTCTGCGTGGGGTCCATCTTCTCGCTCCACCTGCTGACCGAATGCGGCGAGCTGGCCCTGCTCAAGTCCCGGGCCTCCTACAGTGTCCTGGCCCGGCTGGCCCTCGGCCGCATTGGGCTCCTCTACTCGGACATTTGCATGATTCTCTCCTGCTTCGGCGTGGCCACCTCCTACTTGGTGATTTTCGGCGACACGATCGCCCCGCTGATCGCCTCCTCGGACCCCACCTCCGGCGGCATGTCCTTCACCACCACGCACCGGATGCTGGTCGGGTGTGCCCTGCTGGTGGTCCTGCCGCTGTCCTCGCTCCGGCACCTGAACGCCCTGCGCCACTTCAGCCTCTTCGCCATCACCGCCTCCCTCTTCTTCATTGTTTGCGTTGTCGTGCGCAGTGTCCAGGAGATGGTCACCGTGGGCTTCACCGACTGTGCCACCACCACCGCCGGCTGTCCGGAGTACTTCAACACCAACCCCAGCCAGATGCTCAGTGCCATTCGTACGTGCCCGGGCATC